TCCACACCTTCCACTATCCCAGGTGGCTCCAAGCCCTGTCCAGCCTGGCCTTGGGCACTGCCAGGGATGCAGGGGCAGCCCCAGCTGCTCTGGGCACCCTGTGCCAGGGCCTGCCCACCCTGCCAGGGAACAATTCCTCATCCCCAAGATCCCATCCAGCCCTGCCCTGTGGCACTGGGAAGCCATTCCCCATTGTCCTGTCCCTCCATCCCTTGGTAATAGTTTTCTCTCCATCTTCCTTGCAGGCTCCCTTCAGGTCCTAGAAGGTCACAATGAGGTCCCCTTCCTCATCTCCTTTCTCAATTCTGTGTTCCATAATTATTGTCAAATTAAGGACATGAGTTAACCCTCTCTTCCCCTCCTCATTTCCCACTTGTTGCCCTCTAGTTAAGCTGCTGCTTAGGTCTTAAGTGTCAAAAATTAGGGATAAATGAGGAGAGGACCAGAAAAGCATAATCTTCCCCTCTGGCTATTTCAAGCAGCAGCATTTTTAGATAATCCCTGGGAGTAGGACACACTGTAAAACCAGGGAAACAAATCTGTGTGATTTTTAAGTTCAGTACAGAAGACTGATATTTACCTGCTCGGTTTCCCAGCATTTTCAGCAAATAAATATATTTTTCCATTTTATTTTGTTTGCATACCTGTTGTCATTTTAGGATGTTTAAGGCAGCAAATCCTGAACAGGGAAAATAGATCTTCTAAAAGCTGCTTCTGTTTGGAGTTTTGCTGGCAGTTCTGTGAATATTTTTTAAAGCACCAACAAAATAACCATATTTAGGTTATTTTTATTTTATTTCAAAAACACCCAATGGATGCAATGGGTGGGACATGGAGAACTGTCATCAACCCCGTGTTGCTGTCACTGGTTTTTGTGGTCCAAACCCAGCTCCAGCTTTGAAGTCCTCGTTTCAAAGCCACCTTTGTGCCTCTGCTCCCCTGAGGGGACCTTTGGCGCCGTGGGTCACGGAGCATTCCAAACTCCCTGGTTCCCACTTCTTCCCACTTGTTCTCAGCATAAACACAGCAGTCAGAGGCATCCAGGGGGAGGAAAAATGAGCTTTTTCTCAAGTTTAACTGTTGGGTTGGTCTCTAGAGTGAAGGTTTCTCCGTGAGGCCTGGTCCAGCTTAAACATCTTGTTTTTAGTCAAGGATTCCTCACAAGACCAGGGCAGACTCTCAAAAATCTCAATTTTAGTCAAGGTTTCTCCACACAACCTGGTCAGCTCTCATATGTCTCATTTTTAGTTGAGGTTTCTTCACAAGGCCGGGATAGGCTCTCAAACATCTCAATTTTAGTCAAGGTTTCTCCATGAGGCCTGATTGAGGTTTTTCCATGAGGCCTGATCAAGGTTTCTCCACACAACCTGGTCAGCTCTCAAACATCTCATTTTTAAGTCAAGGTTTTGCCATGAGGGCTGGGTGGGATCTTTAACATCTTGTTTTTAGTCAAAGTTTTTTTCTTGAGGCCTGGTTGAGGTTTCTCCATGAGCCTGGGTGGGATCTCAAACATCTTGTTTTCAGTTGAGGTTTCTCCATGAGGCCTAATTGGGATTTAGTCCATGGAGCCTGGTTGAGCTCTCCAACATCTCATTTTTAGTTATGGTTTCTCCATGAGGCCTAATTGAGATTTAGTCCATGGAGCCTGGTTGAGCTCTCCAACATCTCATTTTTAGTCGTGGTTTCTCTCTGAGGCCTGGTCAGGCTCTCAGACATCTCATTTTTGGTGGTATTTAGGAGCAGAAGCTCCAGTTGAAGTTTGTGACTGATCAGCCAAGCTCAGTGGGCCAAAGTGCTCAGCCAGATTTGAAGGTCTGAAGTAGCAAAGGTGATGGATTTTTGTGTGGTGGGTGAGATGTGTCCTGGTGTGTTGGGGAGAAAGAAATTAATCACACATTTAACTGTTCTGAGATGGATGGATGGGGGTGGTCACTGAAATATGGTTCGTACATTGCTTTGGGTCCTGTATCTATGGGACATTTTCATCCTGGGGAGCACTGGAACTTGAAAAAGGAGTTTATTGACAAAATTTGGTGCTGTTGGGCCCCACTGTTCCTAATTTTGTCCATTTTCAATATAAGTTGGTCTCATAAAAATCCAGTCACTCCTGAAGAGAACTTGCATTGGGTATTTCTCGACTAAAAGAAATGTCCATGTCCACTCATTGGCATTCTGCAGGGAATGAGGGAATTCACAAAATGGGATAGTTGCCTTTTTTAGAGCAAATCTGACTCAGTAGTGAGATTGGTACTTCTCCTGTGGGGTACCTGAAGCAGGTCAGGAAGATCTATCCATGTCTTATCCTCTCAAACCTGCTGTGTGAACATTCTTCCCCCACCTTGGTGCTGGGATTTTTTTTTGCTCACTTTAAGTAAAACTGACAATAGAAGTAAAGGGAATAAAAAATCCTGGTATTTTTATAGAAGCTGTTCTTACTGGACAAACAGAAATCTCCAGGGGAGGCACCTGAGGGAGGGCTTCAACGGGAGGAAGAGCTTCACTTTTGTTCATTTATGTTGGAAATGCTGTTTTGCGGAAGATTCCAGCTTCTCTGTATGCTGAGGGTCAGGATGGGAGGAAACAGCCTCAAGCTGGGCCAGGGGAGGCTCAGCTTGGACAGCAGCAGCAATTTCTGCATGCAAAGGGTGCTCAGGCCTTGGCAGGGGCTGCCCAGGGAGCTTTGCAGTGCCCAGCCCTGCAGGTGTCCCAGCAAGGGCTGGAGGTGGCACTCAGTGCTCTGGGCTGGGGACAAGGTGGGAATGAGTCACCAGGTGGACTCCTTGCTCTTGGGAGGTCTTTTCCAACCTCAGTCATTCTGGGATTCTGTGAACTTTTGCCAAAAAGCTTCTTCAGAGATCTTTGATGGTACCAGAGGTACCTGAGGAGGTATTGCTGCCTCTCAAGTGGGGCTAAAAGCAAGAGCCTTGTTTTTATTTCTACTTCCATGCGCTCTGAGTGAGCTCTTGGGCACTTTGCCTGCCCAGAATGGTGCTCTGACACTGGGCAAGTAGCAAGAATCCCATTAGAAGGGCAAAGCACACGGACGAGCTGATTTGTGTTAGAAAACAAGGATTTTAAGAGCAGGAACTCTGCTAAAGGATGAGAAGGATGGGTTGATTCAAGCACGAAAAATTGTGTGTGTGGAATTAGCTGTGAAAAAATGGCTTGGAATACATAAGCATGAGGATGTGGGTGGCAGGGAGGGCGTGGAAAGAGGCACCAGTGAGGAGCAGGTCAAGCAAAATGAAAGCTTTGGGCACTCAAGGAGAGACTAGAGGAATGTGATTGGAATGTTGGAAGAACTTGGCTGAGATTAGAGCTCGGTTTAAAAAAGAAGAGAGGCAACTTTAGGTGCTTTGAAGTTCAAGTTTGTGTTCCTCCCATTCCTTTGGAGGAGTTCTGGGTGGGAAGTTTGGGAAGGGCCATGTGTGGGAATGATTGGGAAGATTTAGGGGTGGAATGGTGGAATGGAATTGATGGGTTAGAAGGCTGGGAGAACTTGTGGGTGGGAATTGGTTACAGCAGCAGGACTGAGACTCTATTCTGCAGTTGGTGCTGGTGGTAGTTGGTGAGCAGGACCAAGAAATGGCCTTTTAGGGAGCAGGTTTATCATGTTAAATTGCCCAGAAATCATGTAAAAATACCAATGAATATGGATCACCTGTTGTAAATTTAGAAGCCATTAATCCAGTATTTTCATTAATTAGATTTTTGGGTGCCTACAAGATTCCACTTGAGAGGGGTCTGATCCCAACACCTCCTAAAATCAGGCCCTTCCAAGGAATTTCATCATGGATGGTCAAAAATGTGCACTTTAAATTTGCTCTCCAGAAACACCCAACATAAGCAGTAAAACTGCAATTTTGTGTCCAGGTCTCCTCCAGACTTTTTTTTCCCCTCCCTCTTCCCACTGTGGCACATGAAAATGAGAAAAGCTGGGGGTTCTGTTAACAGTCTGTAAATGATAAAAAGGTTGGGTATAAAGATAAATAAACAAACTCAGGTCAACACAACACCTTTGAAAAAAAATCCCAAGCTTAACCAAATTTGAGGATTTGGATTAATTCCCCAGTTTTAGCTCCAGTCCTTGCTTGTTTATACATAGTTTGGGATTAGAAGATCTGATGGTGAATGCAGGGCATTTTTGGGGTGATTTTGTCCCAAATTTGGGCTGGGATAGAATACCCAATACCTCCAGCTCTCCTGGTCATGGTTGAAAAATCCAAGAGACATTTATGCCAAGGGAGATGCAGGAGAGGTTGCAGGGGAAGCTCTTGGCATCCCCCAGCCTGCTGTTGGTTGAATTTGCAGTGGCAGAGCATCTGGGATGAAGATTCCAAGGTTTGGAGGGAGATCTAAATATCAATTGCAAGTCTTGATTTAGAAAATATTTGGGTTTTTTGGTGATGTGTAAATGCACATTGCTTTTGATGGGGTGACACAAGGGATGAAAGTGTTCTAACAATTTTAGATGCTAGCATTGATAGGCTGTGACATGAATTTAGCAAGGGCTGTTCCACAAAATAAGGCAAAAATGGACAGATTATACTGCTGTAATAACAGGAGAAAAGCAAAACTTACTTGCTGAACAAAACCCTTGCTAGCAAAGCTGGAAAACCACCAAAACCACCAAAACAAAAAAGGAGAAAAAAAATTTTTTATACCAGACTTCCTATTACAGTTTAGTTCATGTAGCTTATTCCCTGTTGGAAATTCCTCTGTCTTGTTGATGTGCTAAAAATGGATCCAGGCTGTGAGGATAATTCATCTGGGCACAGGCTGGCACCAGCACAGCCAGAAGAAAAATGGGCAAGCCACAAATGCTTCCAGTTTAATTATTCTATTCCTTACCACAGGACAGTCTTTAAGTCACAGCCAATGTCAAGCTGGGATAAAAGGGGTCCAGGGTGATGTTCTTAACAAAGCTGCCAAAATATGGGTTATAGGACAGGCTCTGCTTTGATTTGTTCATCTTCATTTGGTTCCTTTGCCTCTTGCAGACTCACTACGAGAGTGGAGAGTACATCATCCGCCAAGGGGCACGAGGGGACACCTTCTTTATCATCAGCAAAGGAAAGGTGAGTTCACACCTTCCCAGGCCAAGGGGCTCCCAAAATCCTGCTCCAGCCTCGCTCTCTCCCCTCTCAAGGCACGAATGTGCCAGAACTTGACATGTAATGGAGCTCCTTGGCTGGGTCAGGAAAGGAAGAGTGGCCTGAAGGGCTGAAAATGAAATCCCCTGCTGGTTTCACATGTGCTCCCAGGCAACACTCTGGGGTGGAAACTGTTGTTGAGTCTCTGGGTTAATGGCCATGAAACTCAATTTCTTTGAAATAAATCCTACTCCTAAATATACCCCATGATTTCTTTGCTAAGCATCCCCCTTCCAAGGCTGACTTCCAGGCTTCATTCCCATGGCCCTCTCTTCCCAGCTTCTCCAAATAATAGAAAGGCAGGGATCTCTGAGCTCTCTCCATAGGGGAAAAAAAAGGTCAAAGTTTCTTTCCACTGCTCACAGGGAAAATATTTTTGACCTCATTTCCCATAAAACACTGATGGGATTTTATAGACCAAGTTTCTTCCTTCTATTCAACAATTATTTATAATTTTTTTAGCCTGCCTAATACACTTGAGAGACACTTGGCTTCTTTCCACATAGCAGGATGGAGGTTTTGGAGGGAATACACAGTGATTTCCAGCTGCCAACTCATTTTCCACCATCATCTTCCACTTTCTGAGAGCCAGTTTTTATTGTAAGGCAAAAAATGGTCTTTTTCAGTTTAATAAGAGTGTCTTGGAGAAGTTTTTGAAATGAAGTTAATCATAGCCTGCAGAAATCCAAGTTAGTTGGTTTGATGCCCTTTCACTTGCCTTCAATCAGAAATAATATTCCCTCTTTTCTCAGAGTGTGGACAATCACGAGCCAAGCTTCAAATCCTTTTTCTTTTGCCATTTTTTCATGGGGAAAAACATTGGGATGGTGCATCTCCCTCCCACATCTCCATCTCCACTCCCACTCCAAGGAGTGTTTGGAGCTATGTTGGCTACAGGGGCTTTTGCCTCACTTGGTCACTGGGTGGATCCCATCCCTTCCCAGCAGCACAGAATCCTGGAATGGCCTGGGGGGAAGGGACCTTAAATCCCATCCAGTGCCAGCCCTGCCATGGCAGGGACACCTTCCCCTGTCCCAGGCTGCTCCAGCCTGGCCTTGGGCACTGCCAGGGATGCAGGGGCAGCCCCAGCTGCTCTGGGCACCCTGTGCCAGGGCCTGCCCACCCTGCCAGGGAACAATTCCTCATTCCCAATATCCCACCCAGCCCTGCCCTCTGTCAATCTGAACCCATTCCCTGTGTCCTGTCCCTCCATGCCTTGTCCCCAGCCCCTCTCCAGCTCTCCTGGAGCCCCTTTAGGCCCTGGCAGGGGCTCTGAGCTCTCCCTGGAGCCTTCTCCTCTCCAGGTGAGCACCCCCAGCTCTCCCAGCCTGGCTCCAGCCCTGGGTACAACTCCATGGTTCCTCTGAACTCATTACAACATTCCCCAATCCACAAAGAAATGTAAAAACCAAATCCCAGTTGTTGGCCTGCAGCCCTTTACCCTCACCCAGAGGATGGAGAAGACCTCCCATGGGCTTGACCACTGCTCCAGAGCCCTGGACTCCTCCTGGAGCAGCTCCTTGGCTTTGTCCCTGGCCTCTGCTCCTTTATCTTGCTGTGATAGCTGCAGGCCAGAAAAGGGGAGCTAAAATAAAACAAGGCACTGGGACTTGCTAAAAAATTCCCAGACTCTCAGCTGGAGCCTGATGGCTTGACAGAAATTCCCACAGGGATAGTTAAATCCTGCCCAATTTTCTCTTCCAAGCTTATTGCTTTGGAAAAGAGACACCAGTGGCTGATGGGTGGATGGAGCTGGAGGGAGTTTAATTTTAATGCCTGGCTTAGGATGGATGTAATAATTAATCCATGCTAAGCCTTGGATAGTGGCTCAGCAGTGAAACAGGGAATAAATGACAACAAAATACAGGATTTTAGAGTCAGTGTGTGCTGCCTGGCACCTGCAGAAGCTGGAGCACATCACCTCCCATGTCCTGTGGTAAAACTTGACTCAGGCAGCTCAGCAAGGCAGGAAAATGCTGGAAGCAGCTCCTGGGAGCACACCTGCAGTGTCTGCAGTCAGTGTCAGCAGGATCAGGGAGAGCTCCTTAGGGAATGTCTGCCATGCCTGTCACATCAGTGTCTGGAGTCACACAGAATCATGGAATTGTTTGGATTGAAAGGACCTTAAAGCCCATCCATTCCCACCTGTGCCATGGCAGGGACACCTTCCACTGTCCCAGGCTGCTCCAGCCTGGCCTTGGGCACTGCCAGGGATGCAGGGGCAGCCCCAGCTGCTCTGGGCACCCTGTGCCAGGGCCTGCCCACCCTGCCAGGGAACAATTCCTCATTCCCAATGTCCCATCCAGCCCTGCCCTCTGGCACTGGGAGCCATTCCCTGTGTCCTGTCCCTCCATGCCTTGTCCCCAGTCCCTCTCCAGCTCTCCTGGAGCCCCTTCAGGCCCTGGCAGGGGCTCTGAGCTCTCCCTGGAGCCTTCTCCTCTCCAGGTGAGCACCCCCAGCTCTCCCAGCCTGGCTCCAGCCCTGGGTACAACTCCATGGTTCCTCTGGACTCATTACAACATTCCCCAATCCACAAAGAAATGTAAAAACCAAATCCCAGTTGTTGGCCTGCAGCCCTTTCCCCTCACCCAGAGGATGGAGAAGACCTCCCATGGCCTTGACCACTGCTCCAGAGCCCTGGACTCCTCCTGGAGCAGCTCCTTGGCTTTGTCCCTGGCCTCTGCTCCTTTATCTTGCTGTGATAGCTGCAGGCCAGAAAAAGGGAGCTAAAATAAAACAAGGCACTGGGACTTGCTAAAAAATTCCCAGACTCTCAGCTGGAGCCTGATGGCTTGACAGAAATTCCCACGGGGCTGGTTAAATCCTGCCCAATTTTCTCTTCCAAGCTTATTGCTTTGGAAAAGAGACACCAGTGGCTGATGGGTGGATGGAGCTGGAGGGAGTTTAATTTTAATGCCTGGCTTAGGATGGATGTAATAATTAATCCATGCTAAGCCTTGGATAGTGGCTCAGCAGTGAAACAGGGAATAAATGACAACAAAATACAGGATTTTAGAGTCAGTGTGTGCTGCCTGGCACCTGCAGAAGCTGGAGCACATCACCTCCCATGTCCTGTGGTAAAACTTGACTCAGGCACCTCAGCAAGGCAGGAAAATGCTGGAAGCAGCTCCTGGGAGCACACCTGCAGTGTCTGCAGTCAGCATCAGCAGGATCAGGGAGAGCTCCTTAGGGAATGCCTGCCATGCCTGTCATGTCACAGTGTCTGGAGTCACACAGAATCATGGAATTGTTTGGATTAAAAGGACCTTAAACCCCATCCATTCCCACCTGTGCCATGGCAGGGACACCTTCCACTGTCCCAAGCTGCTCCAGCCTGGCCTTGGGCACTGCCAGGGATGCAGGGGCAGCCCCAGCTGCTCTGGGCACCCTGTGCCAGGGCCTGCCCACCCTGCCAGGGAACAATTCCTCATTCCCAATGTCCCATCCAGCCCTGCCCTCTGGCACTGGGAGCCATTCCCTGTGTCCTGTCCCTCTGTGCCTTTTCCCAAGCCCCTCTCCAGCTCTCTTGTACCTTTACGCCCTGGAATTCTGCTCTAAGGTCCCCCTGGAGCCTTCTCTTCTCCAGGCTGAAGTGAGCAGAGATAAATTTTTACGTTTCTGAGCCCATTGCTCCTCTCAGAAATACTGAGAAAACTTCTGCTCTTCCAGCTCATCCTCCATTGATTTCTCTTCTCTCTTCTCTTCTCTCTTCTCTTCTCTCTTCTCTTCCTCTTCTCTTCCTCTTCTCTTCCTCTTCTCTTCCTCTTCTCTTCCTCTTCTCTTCCTCTTCTCTTCCTCTTCTCTTCCTCTTCTCTTCCTCTTCTCTTCCTCTTCTCTTCCTCTTCTCTTCTCTCTCTCGTTTTCTTCCAGCCCATCCTCCATTGATAATTCTTTTAGGACCAAATTCCTTTTTCCCCTGTCAGCTCCACCCACCCCACTTGACCCCACTCCTGAGCTCCTTTAGTGTATTTATTTGAACTTGTTTCCTCAAGTCCTACCAAGCAGAAATCAAAGTGATTTCCAACCATGCTGTGTGCAGGAATCTGTGGAGTAATAATGGATGGAAATGGCTCATTCCCTTCTGCTTGGGAAGTGCTGCTTGCCTTTATCCAAAGGCAGCATGGGCCTTGCTGTGTCATTTCCCACCCTTTCCCCTTTAAAATCCACAATGTGGCACCAATTTAATGCAGGTTCCCCACTGGAGGCTGGCTCAGAGCTTTGGACATTGTAGAAGTCACTCTGTCCTAATCTCTAAACACTGTTTGCTTTGGATCATTGGAAGTCATGGAAAAAGAGCTGGAATCTGCATTGAAGTTCCCTCTGTTTGTCCAGGGGTGTTCCTGGCTCACCCACTCCACATTCCCTGCCCTTCCATGAGTCAGGGCAGGTGTTCAACACCACGTGCTGCTCATTAACCTCTCAAACCCACTGGTTCTGCCACCCCTTAAAGAGCTGGGACAAGGTGCAGGCCATGAATTTAATAGGGAAATTACACTGGGATATCACTAAATCCAAAAGGATGTGCCTGACACATCCCACCTTTGAGCTTTGGGAATTTCCACGTGCAAAAGCTCTGGTTAAAAACATGGAAAGATTTGATTTCTGCTCCAGCTTGTTCCCTCCCTGAACTGGAGAGAGAGAGCAGAGCCACACTTCATCCTGCAATGCCCCAAACTGGTTCACTTCAGTTGTGTCCCAATGGTGGTGATTTGTGTTCTTCCTGTCCCTTCAGGGAACTTGGGAGCCCTGTGGAACAAAGCTAATGGAAGCTTTAAGCCGCAGATGATAGATACACAGCAAATTTTTGGAATTTTATTCTCCTGTGACTGTGCTTGTGCAGCCAACTCCATGTTTAGAATTAAAAACATTCCCAAAAATCCAAAGCTGTGTGTTTTTGCAGGAGTAGAAGGAAAAATCACTGCTCATTTTTTTGGATGGTTGGTTGGGGACAGTGCAGGACTCTGGGGACTTAGATGGCTCCCAGAGGAGCCTTTCCTGAGAGATCCAGGAGGTGACAAATTCCCCTCTGAACAAAGATGTTTTAGCTGTTAATTAGAAGTTCTCTGAATCCTGTGGGGTTCTGGCTTTTCCACAGGTGAACGTCACCAGGGAGGACTCTCCCAGTGAAGATCCCGTCTTCCTCCGCACTCTGGGGAAGGGGGACTGGTTTGGAGAAAAAGCCCTCCAAGGGTAAGTGCTCCTTAAGAAGCAGTTCTTGAATTTTGATTATTTTCTCCAGGATTTTTGCAGCTCTCAGGTGGTTCTGGCTGTTTGGGAAGAGATTGGGAGTGGATTTATTCTTTTGGAATCGCTGGATTTGTGTTAGAAGGAGGCCCCACCTCAGTGGGGAATGGGTTTGTTCTGCACTTGAGCAGCCAAATGTAGACTTTCCCTTGCTTGTGGACATCAAAAATTAGTTTATCTTTGTGTTTCCTTCCCCAAACATCCATTGGAAGCTGAAAGAGTTTGATTTTTGCAACTCTGGAGTGTTATTCCTGTATGGAAAAGGATAATTGTGGTCATCCTGGTGGGGTGGATGGCTGAAAGAAGGGCAGTTTAAATTGCCATGCTCTATTTATATGGGATTTTGGAGGTGGAAATTGGATCTGAGTGAGCACTTTTATATAAACATTTTCCTTTGGAGATGAGTTAAAAGAAGAGAAGCTGCAAATTCATATTCAGGCTATAAAAATAGGCTTAATTAAGGCAGGAATTTGGGACACTCATTCATCTTCATGGATAAACATATTTTCCTAGGGGTTTATCTGGGTGCCAGAGCTCTTGGGCTTTTTTGGGGATGCTGTGGTAACATGGTCAATCCCTCCTCTACCACCCTTCTCCCCAGTAAAAGGTGGCAGAATATTTGAAGGCAGAATTTCCTGGCACTTCTTGGCAGCCAGATGTGTATCAAGCACAAACCTCAAGTCAATGAATCTCTTCCCTAATTATAAAATATTGTGGTTATTGAACAAATATCCTCATTTTGATGCCATCCCTGCACGGCCCTGGTGACACAGAGCATCCCCATGGGTGGGAATTCCTTGGCATTTCAAGTAGAGTAGTTTGAGATTGGTTAATTTGCAGTACTTGGCTGCATAAATTTGAATATTCAATATAGAAATCGAAACTTAATTATTGAGAGGACATTCTCAGCATGCAGGGAAAGCACAATCCTGCCATCCTTGGAAGTGTCCAAAGCCAGGTTGGACAGGGCTTGGAGCAGCCTGGGACAGTGGAAGGTGTCCCTGCCATGGCAGGGGTGGCACTGGGTGGGCCCTTCCAGCCCAAACCATTCTGTGATCTTTTTTTGTTGCTAGAGAATTCCTCCAGAACCATCCTTCCAGTTTGCTGATAATCACAGGAGTCTCACAGGGGGATTTAAATGGAATAATGTGAAAATATTGCAATGTAAACATTTGGTAGCTCAAATAAATTGCTAATTAATGAGTTTCTGTGAGGATTGTGTGAGACATCCCTGTTTGGCCACTTGGGAAACCTTTAGGATGATTCCACTGCTGTAAAATACAGCTATGGCTGAGAGCTTGAGATAAAATTGGATTTTTACTCTATTTTCTTTCCTTTTTTATCTTTGATTAATTTTTTAACAACTTTACCAGGGCCTTAGCAACACTTGAAATCCCAGAGTGGTTTGGGTTGGAATGGACCTTACAGACTACAGGACACTTTATTAAAACCTGATATATTTTGTGTGTGCAGAATAAAACAAGGGCTACAAATCATTTCTTCATTAAGATAGAAACTAATGCAGAAATGCAGCCTAGCAGGAGCTGGGATAACAAATCCCTCCCAGCAATATGTCCCTGACAGAGCCATCAGGGACTGATGTGCATTATCCCATTTTCCATGCTCACAGCAGATGGCACCCATTAGCTCCCAGTATCCCATTGCACACTGGCAGAGCAAGGCATGAAATGATGATCCACATCCTCTCCCAGGCCCCTCATACCTTCCTGGCTAATTGGAGGCAGCAGATGGATAATTTGCAGTCTAGCATGACATAATTTAGGGTGCTCCAAAATCAGGTGTTGTTTTCTTCGTTGCAGTAAAAACATTTATTGTGTAACAACATTTATAAACATTGAAACATAATATAAAGATTTATTATAAAGCAATAATTATTCCTATCAGCATGGAAATAAAGTGTTGTGGTGTTGGGGGTCCCCAGGACAGGGTGAGAGATGAGAATCTGACTCCAGGTTTTTAGAAGGCTGATTTATTATACTATGATATTATATTAGAAGAAAATGCTATACTAAAACTATACTAAAGAAAGAGAAAGGAGACATCAGAAGGCTTAACAAGAATGAATAATAAAAACTCGTGACAGACTCAGGGAGTTCGACACAGCTGGCTGTGATTGGCCATTAATTAATAACAATTCACATGTTTGGATCAACAATCTCCAGGCCACATTCCAGAGGAGCAAAACATGGAGAAGCTAATGCTTCTCATCTTCCCAGGAGAAAAATCCTGGTGAAGGGATTTTTCAGAAAATATGATGGTGTGACAATAAAGTTCCTTCAAATCAGCACAGGGGGAGAACTCAGTGCATCTCAGGTGCTACACTCAGTAATAACTCAGTGGGAATGACTCAGTGTGGCTCAGGTACTAAAACTGGCTGATAAATAGGGGGTGCTGCCTTGCTGGCCTCACACAGCTGGATCTTGCTCCAGAACATCTGGAGCACAGCACAGCCCCTTCCAGAGGGATGTTTTGGGAGCAGCCATCCATCCCACTGGTTTAAGCATGTGGCAGGAGCCTTGAGGCAGAAAGTGATGGGGGAAGAAAAGAGGACAGAGAGAAGATCTTTAGGAAAATGGGGGTTCTGAGCACGCTGGGATAGTGGAAGGTGTCCCTGCTGATGGCAGGGGGTGGAACAGGGTGGAATTTCAGGTCCCTTCCAACTCAAACCAATCTGGGATTCCGTGAAGGCCTCCTTCCTGCTGCACATCCCATCCTGTATTGCATTTACACAGGGCTAGTGGTTTGGGTGGTGTGGGTTTCATCTGGTTCTGGGATTCAGGAGGAGTTCTGGACCTGGAGCAGTGGACAAGGGCAGGGGGCTGATGTTTGGAGAGCTGGTGATGGAGCAGGAGAGGGAAGGGTTTGATAGAGATTTTCATCGTTTGGTTCATAAGGCTTTGACCAAACTGGCCAAGTGTTGAGGTCCAGCTGGGGTTTTAAGGTGAGTGCTTTGCTGTTTAAAAAAGGGGTCCCTAAATACTCCTGGGCAGTAGCAAAACAGGAAGAATATGGGTGAGTAGCCCAAGCTGAAGCTGAGACAGGGCCTCCATAACATGTGTGTGTCCACTGGATCTATTTATGTATCAATATAAATGTGAGGGTGTATCCTACTGAGAAAAGCAATGGGAATATGGATGATTTAAACCTACAGGAATAGCACAAAGTTATAACAAACATATTTCATGTTTTAGCATGAGAACGCCAGCTGGTTTTAAGACTGTTTTATTGCACATCTAGGAGGAGATTTTTAATGCTGATTTATTCTGAAAACTGCTGAGTTTGTTCATCTGCCCTGTGGGCTGTCCTGGAAAATAAGGAAGATGTTTGCTCTGTGGGGAAGGACTTGGGGAATACTGAGCTGGGCCAGCAGAGTGCACATTTTTTTTATTGATTCTTTGCAAAATGTGTTTGTGGTGTGTAGGGGGAAGAAGGAATTGTGGCCTTTGGGTTGTGCAGGAGGTGCTGTGCCTTGGTGACCCCAGCAGTGATAACTGAGTGTTGGGACTGATTTATATCTGGTTTTTTTGTTACATTCTTGATGATCTGAAAATGAGAATGGTGGTAGCTGTTCCTCATGGGACAACACATCTGCTTCCAAGAAAATCTGTGCTATTTCCCATTTACATCTCCATCTCTGGTAGTTATTTTCCCCAAGTTACAGAAATCAGCTCTGCTCTACCTGCCCCAAATCCCTGGGGCATGATTTGTGCCCTGACAATTTCCTGGAACAGTAAAACAATATCCATGGATATGGGTAGCAATGTCAACAGGACAATTTCTGTGCTGACCACTGCAGAACCTGATACCATATTTCCCACCTGGAATAGTGGGAGTTGCTCTGATGGATGTTGACATCAGTGACCAGAAAAGCATGGGAATGCCCATGGGAAATATCAAATCAGGAATAATCCAATCAGGATTGCAGCTGGTGATGTCAGAGCTCTCTTTATTCAGAAGTTAATGTTGGTGCTGAATTTAATGCCAAAAGCTTTTTTAAAAGGCTGAGGACAAGACATCAATAGAAGTAGGACTTTGTTCCTTTTCTTATACAGGGTGTTTACTTGAGTCAGACTCCAAAGTTAATTGTTTTTTATTAAATCTCTATTAACCCTTCAAGAGGTGCTGGGATCACCCTGTGTCTGCTCCTCTGCTCCCTGCTCTAATTCCCACTTTCCTTCTGTGTCCTTCACTGCTGGACTGACCTGACCTTTCCATTGCTCCTTTTCCCAGGGAATAACGGAAAAACTCAGTGTTTCTTTAAAAACCTCATCATCCCAAACTGGAAGCCTTTGGGGTGCCCCACCTTGCTGCCCTGCTCCCTGCTTTTCTTTCCTCTCCAGCTTTTTTCAGGTTTCTTGGCTGTCCTGGAAAGGAGCCCTTTTCCCCTTGTTTTCCCTTTTCCCCTTGTTTTCCCTTTTCCCCTTGTTTTCCCTTTTCCCCTTGTTTTCCCTTTTCCCCTTGTTTTCCCTTTTCCCCTTGTTTTCCCTTTTCCCCTTGTTTTCCCTTTTCCCCTTGTTTTCCCTTTTCCCCTTGTTTTCCCTTTCCCCCTTGTTTTCCCTTTCCCCCTTGTTTTCCCTTTTTCCCTTTTCAATTTTCCCTTTTCCCTTTTCCCTTTTCCTTTTTCCCTTGGTTTCCCCCTTGGTTTCCCCCTTGGTTTCCCCCTTGGTTTCCCCCTTGTTTCCCCTTTTTCCTTTTCCCCCATTTTCCTTTGTTTTCCCTTGTTTTCCCATTTTCCCTTTTTCCCTTTTCCCCCATTTTCCCTTTTTCCCTTTTCCCCCATTTTCCCCTTTTCCCTTTTCCATTTTTCTCTTTTCCATTTTTCCCTTGTTCCCCCTTTTCCCTTTCCCATTTTTCCCTTTTTCATTTTTCCCTTGTTCCCCCTTTTCCCTTTCCCATTTTTCCCTTTTTCATTTTTCCCTTGTTCC